TAGCAGCATCATATGAATTCTGGCATTTTACACATAGTCCACCAGGAGGCGCCAACACAAAAGTCAGAAACTTCACATAAGGGCCATCTTGTGGGGGAAAAGCAGATTACTTCCTACTCGCGAGCGCCCCCTCTGGTGGGGAAACGTTTTTCAGGGATACAAACTTTTTCAGAACACCGGTAGACGGCAGCCATTACAGACGGACATGTGTTTGTTGTTGTTTGTTCGGTCACATGCTAATGTCTTTAGTTTGTTATCATTACTAAGGTGCAGGACTGCTTTTTTCCCCCTTTTTTCTTTTTTTTTCACATCATGTCCCCTGCTTGGATCTGTTATTATCTCACTCTGAAGCACGGAGGAGTGTCAGAGGTGAGCTCGTTTCAACTGATTTTACGACGCGGTCTCATTTCCGGACTCAATAATTTTGTGAATGAAGACGATATTTCAGTTAAAATACATAAGCAAAAATATTTATCTGAGTATACAGTATTACTACCCCCCAACTTTATGGATGGTTTTATGGATTTAATTTTACGTATTATACTTGAATAAATATGGTAATATTGTTTTTACAGCCTAAAAATGGTTCTGTTGCCTCCAATTGTTTGATTATGAACCTAAACTCAAACGTTTGACAGTGAAGCCAGTTTTATTTTAAAAAAAGCAACTTTGATCCACTTCGTGACTTCTCTAAATAAAGTTAATTTGTTTTTACACCATATCAAATAAACTGAAGTTAAATGGATCAAGACTCTAACATCAAATTAAGAGAAGTAAAAGATCCAGGTGTCGCTGGAACTAAACTACAAACTAAACTGGAACCTAAACAGGCTCCTCTCACAGCTCGCTCCTTTGCTGAGGAAGGAGTCAGAGTCACAGTATGTTGTGTTCAGGAACACAGTAAAAAATCAGTTTCCTGACACCACCTAGGGCGTTAAATGTCATCAACTAAATAGCCTAGTATGAAAGACGAACCATTTATTTATACATATTATTATTATTATTATTATTATTATTATTGTTATGTGTGGGGGTAGGCTACGTTTGAACAGTTCAAAACAAAAATTTCTGACTCCAACGATGTTTGTATTGCGCTGGACAAACTGCTCAAATTTATCCCGTGGTCAGGCAGTTATATCTCGTGGCCACTCGTTGTTTTCCTGTGGCCACTAGATAAATGTTTTCATCCAGTGTCATCGGATGGGCAACGTAAGATACACCTCATGGCATCATACCAATGCATTTCAATAGAAAATGACCTGGGCTGGGTCTGAACTGAGTTGTCCTTCAGTCTGGATCTAGACCGGAGTCTAGATGTTGAGAATTGTTGGTTCAAATCCAGGTTTCCCTCCTGAACTTGTTACTCCACAAACTGACATTAGATTGGATGGATGGATGAATGGATGGGTGTGTCTTTATTTTCCACGTTTCCTTGTAATAACTTTGATCGCCTCCTGTGTGTCTGTTGTGTTGTGTTGTGTTTTGTTGTGTTGTGTTTGCTGTGTTTGTTGCAGGGCTGTCTGTGACGGAGAGTAAATCTCTGCTGGAGGACTTCACTTCCTGTCTGTTGGCTCAGACTGAGCACGCTCACTGGGACTCTGGTTAGTTCACTTCTTCTAAGGTCCTGTTTATCGTTGTGATGGTGGTCTGAGACCACATTGTAGTTCCCCTGCTGAAGATCAGGTTATGAAGTCTTTATTAAAGATGCTTTATTATTTAAATCAGAAGTCGTCTGAATCGCTTGGAAAAATTTGTTGAAATCTAAAACCTTTTAGATTCATTGTCACCCATTGCCAACAATAAAGGCAGTTATGATTTTGCTTTGTGTGTGTGTATACTTGTTTTTGTTACCTATATAGGACCGTTTCCGGTATGCACACCTACCTTGTCAAGACCAGTAGTCCTAATGGGGACCAAAGACCGGTCCTAATATGGTGGGACTCCATTTTTGGGTTGGGGTTAGGTTTAGGACTAAGTTGTGAATTTAATTTAGGTTAGTTTTAGGGTCAGGTAGGTACCTGTGAGGTTAGCCTTAGGGTTTGTGGTCAGGGTTAGGCTGTAGAAATGAATGGAAGTCAATGAATGGTCCTAATAAGGATAGAAATACAAACCTGCGTGTGTGTTTGCGCATGTTTTTGTTACCTTGCGGGCATGATTTTTGACTGTTTTCCCGATACACACAGCCTGGTGAGGACCCACTGTTGTTCATGGGGACAATAGCCTGGTCTCTATCAGGGGAAATACTATTGGTGGGTCAGGGGTTCGGTTTGGGACTATATATGAAAAGTTCTGGTTAGCGTTAGTAAAATCAGCTCCCTATGTCCTATGTGATGTCAGTCAAGCCAAACAAAAGTTACAAATGTAACTACGGTTCTATGAATCCCGAATGACCACCCGAGGGTGATGCTGAAAGCACTGATGTTACTTTTGCACATGCACTGTTCAAGTTATTATTAACAAAGTAACAGCTGTGACCCATTGGATGATTACCTTGAACCGATATAGGTTGGTAACATCCGGGGCTCTGTTCTTACAGAATTTTCTTGTGAAATGTAAGGATTCTGGGTGACAGAGAAGCTCTGGCAGTCATTTGGGATTCATAGAACCGTAGCATACGTAACCTTCGTTCTATTTCATCCCAGAGGGCAGTGCTGAAAGCACTGAATGACTAATACCAACAATGTCACACGGAATCCCGAGCATCATCCCCGGACTAACTGCGCCCATCGGACCGACCCATTAATGATCCGACCCGGGATTCCTCCCGATTGTCCCGATTACCCACTCCGCCCTTGGGTCACAGCTGTGACTTTGTTGGCACTAATTACTTGAACGGCGCATGTTCGAAGGGAACATTCAGTGCGTTCAGCACTGCCCTCTGGTGGTCAGTAGGGATGAAATAGAACCAAAGCTTAAATTCTGTGCAGTGCTGGAGTCATGGTTAGCACTGACAACCTACAGCATAAAAGTAGTATCAGCAAAGCATATTTGCTACGGGGCTTTTAATAGTGGCATCTGATCTGATAACAAGCCTCAAACCCAAGATACTTGTTTTTTGCTGTTTTCAAAGCTGATTACTCAGAGAGAAATATCATTGTTGGATTTTACTCTGTGGCCGAGCTGCCTTCAAACGTCCTGTCTGTTGTAACAAGCCAGGTGCAGTATGTAGTAGTAGTTTATTAGAAAAAATATATATACTTAACAAGAACACTAGAGGTCTTATCCTGGGTTTCACTGCTCACATTGTACAACAAGTCTTCAAGTGTTTTCTGTCTAAAATCGGCAAAAAAATGGAAAACAATAACATTTGTGTTTACAAGCCAAAATTGATTGTAATAAGAGAATGACCTTGAACATATTTAAGGAACATTTTCACGTTTGTCTTTTGAAAAATGAAAAAGGGAGTAAAAGAACCGTTTGCTATCAACTAACAGCTAACACTGGCTAACAACACAGGAATTTTACCTTACCTTTGGATTTTGTCTTCAGTAACGCCGCCTTTGTATAAGTTTATGTTGAAAAATGCACTGGAATCAGGCTTTATGTGGTCTACTGTATAACTGGAACTTTTCATACTCCCTAAAATTCTGGTGATGTCATCCCTGACCAACACATCTGAGTTTAGGTTAGAGTGTAGAAATGACTGGTAAATGAATCAGTGCAAAGTCCCTATGAGGATAGAAGAACAAACGTGTGTGATTATTAATAATTCAAAGGATTTATTCACATTTCTACCCATGTAGACCTTTAGTTTTTGGTTTGTTCTTGAAGACTTTTTGTCTTGTGTAAAGCTGACGGACAACTAGATCAGGATTAATGTGACTCGAGTCAACACGACCCTTCAGTTTGGACTTAATCCCATCATTACCAGGTGTAGCAGCATCCTGCTGAGCTCAGATTAAAACTGTGTCTCACTCTGATTCCTGCTGCTCTTTGGTTTTTCTGCAGTGATGTGCAGAAGTTTGAGTTCAGCTCTGAGGGATAAGTGTCTCAGAGGTGAAGGCAGAAACTCTGCAGCACCGTTTGCGAGGTCAGAGCGGCGGGCAACCGTGTCCCAAACCATGGAGAACTTTCTTCTTCTCCTCCCACCTCTCCTGTCAGTCCTGTCCTGCCGTCAGTCCTCCAGCTGGCTGTCAGGTAAAAACACTCGTCTTTGGAACTCTTCAAAAGCTGTGTTTCCATTACAAATGTGCGCAAAACTTTGTCGATATTCTGTTAATGTCGAAAAACACAGTTTCGCAACTCTGGTGTTTTCATTAAATAAGAAATGTTATTAAAGTCACGTGAATACGTTTGTTCTCATGATAAGTCATTACAAACATGGCGGCGATGGATGTAAACACATAGCATGTTGCTACCACGACACTAGCGCTCATCATCAGAGGAGACGTCGGCGTCTTTGGCTACGTTCACACTGCAGGTCTTAATGCTCAGTTCCGATTTTTTGAAAAAATCCGATCTTTTTG